GGATGGTGCCACTCACTGTGGATGGGTGACGGTGTGTACCGTTGTTGTTGTCTTTCTGCCGCCGCTGCCTTCTCCAATTCTTGGACAGACACGCTAGGAAAGCAAGAAAACAAACGCCAATCGCCACTGTGAAATTGTAAGGCACTGAAAGGACCAACAGCACACACACATATATGCTCTCACGTGTTGCTGCTGTGAAGGCACCCCGCACACACAACCGTTGCCGCGTGACCGGACCCAGCGGAAGGAGGAGGGAAGGAAGAGAGAGTGAGCCGCCGAGGCCCAACATGTCCCGGCGTGTGTTTACTTCCGCGGTGCTTCCTCTCTGCTTTGTGCGGATGTGCTGCGGCCCTGTGGAGCTGTTGTGGAGAGTAATTCAAATTGCGTAATTATCTTTCACTGGAGAGGAATTAATTTCTGATTCAATGGATGCCACGAGGGTGGTCAGTTGTGATTTGTTACGTGTAAATTTTCTTTTTGGAGTGAGTGGTGTTGTTGTGGCCGTTGCTGAAGCGCATTTCAAAAACAACAAGGATGGCAAATCGCGTGTTGGCATTGCTGCAAAGTCGATGGAAGTCAATGGAGGGACGTGGGCGAATGGAACTGGCATGATGTTTGATTATTACGACATTAAAGTTGACCGCCTATTGAGCCCAACGACTATTATGGCTGATGGAGAAACATGTGCTCTTGTCGGGGGTTATGGCGAGTCAGGGGCTCCATGGACGAAGGTGGCTGTTGATGGCTATTGGTCGTCCAGGTATGCGAGGAGCACCGTTTTCTCTGAAGATGATGATAAGGATAAGAGGGAGTTTGAGTGGAATCAATAAACAACTTTGGGAGTTTTTCTTGACAGCTTTTTGAAGGATTTCAAACCCAATGCCGAACCCCACAAACAATTTCTGGGTGGTGGCGGTGCACGCATTCGGCTGGAGGACGATGATTCTTGTGTGCTGCCCATTCAAGCACTTACTAATGGTGGAGAGGTCGTTTCGTTGATCATACTCGCCAACGGTTTAGTGTATGATAAGGAGTTTTCAAATGATAGGAGCCATGAGGGCTGCATCCAGCCTGCGACGCTTGAATGGGAGGGCAAAGGTCTCCGCATGATGACGTCGTGTGAGGACGGCAGCCGCAGGGCTTGCAGGGCGGACGGAAAGGGGGATTCGTTGGACGGAGGCATACGACACTATTTCAGGCGTGTGGGGCAACTCACGGACACGAACAGGGCACGGTGTGCCGGGTGGCTTCGTCAGCGCGACGATCGATGGACAGAAAGTCATCCTCGTCAGCCGGCCGGTATAATCTGGGAAGGAGGGAGAAGAAGAAACGGGTCGGCTTCACTTGTGGCTGACGGACATGAGCTGAATTTATGATGTTGCGCCGATATCCGCTGAGAATGAGAACGTCGCCGCCAGCACTCTGCTGTACACCGCAGACAAAGCGTCATTGCGTAAGGAAGCAAAGAAGGAAAAGTGAAAACTGCGCTGCTCGTACGAGTTCGCTGCTGCGGAGGGAGGTAGGCAGTACAGCATTGCTTTTTTGGACTTGACGGGGAATTTGAAGGAAATGAAGAAGGTGTTGGCTGCCTGGAAGGAAAGGGACGCGTGCATTGCGAGGGAATACGGCTGCGGGAATGAAAAGAATGACAAAAAGCGCAGTGGTTGTGGCGGTGACTTTGGCAAAGGGCTGGTTGGCTTCTTATCCAGCACGTCAACTGTGAATACATGGAGTGGCGAGTGCCCCTGAGTGAATGCAACCGTTCACTGGGCAGTGACAAGTACTCCTGATGGTGGACTGACGTTCCAAGGGTCTAGAGCGTGGGCGAAGTGGCCTGTTGGCGAGCATGGGCAGAAACAGCTGTACCACTTCGCGAACTACAAATTCACTCTTTTGGCGACGGTGTCGGTCCCGGAGGTGATGGAGGGCATCGGCAGCTCCTTTCCTTTGATGAGTGTGAGGATGAATGACCACAAAAGCACGCTGCCCTTTGATCTGTTGTACGCGAAGAAAAATAAGTGGGAGATAATCTTCAACGGCAGTCGTTTGGCGCTGCCGGCGGATGCCAAGTGGGAACTGAACACAACACATAGGGTGGGACTGGAAATGGATTACTTTAAGGAGTTGCTTGTGTACGTGGATGGATTGACGGTATACGACGGTGGTGGTGAGGATTACAGCTTCTTTGAAGAGACAAAAACAGTGTTGGGGTTCCACAGCGTCTCACACTTTTAAATTGGCGGCGACGGCAAAAGGGACTCAGGAAACATTCATGTGACGGTGAGCAACGTCCTGCTGTACAACCGCGCGTTGTACGATGACAAGCTTAAAGCACTAATGAAGACGAAAGCAGTCGCTGCTTCAGAGGCGAGGGTGCCGGCCCCGAAAGGTGCGCCTGAAAGCAGCCACGCAAGTGAATCTTCTGATGAGCCTGCCAATGGGTCCGTCGCCATGGATGAAGCGCGGCAGGAAGCCACATCATCATCACCACAAAGACAGGACTCACCGGCGCAACCATTAGGAAATAAGAAGGGCCCAACAGTTTCCAGGCAAACTTTTTCTTCTGACGTAATTGGTCTTGCCACCCCAGCTGCCAAGGGGGAAATGGAAGAAGAGGCGGCGAGCAGTGGTGGAATGGCGCCTGCGTTGTCTCCGACACCGAGCGCGGGCAGTCGCCAGGAGGTACTTGAAGCCAGGAAACCTTTTGGTGGGGAGCGCCCTGAGGGTGGCCGGGAGCCCTTGCCTCCCAACTTGGCTGCATCGACGATGGGGCAGGCGGGCAAGGCGGATGAAGGCTCTCTGCGGAACGGAACCGAAGACGATTGGACGCAGCACAGAATTTCACTGTATGTTTTGAGGAGCGTGCACAACGAGCCGGCCAATGCCGACACGCTCACGAGCGAAGAACAAGACGCTGACCGTGAAGAGGACACGCATGTCCGCACTGCCGTGGGCACGAACAGCGGCCCCGATTTACTCAACGGCACTTACGCGACGCCCGCGGATGCCACCACAGCCACGCCTGCGTTCAACAGAGACCAGACAATTGTTCACCACAAGGATAACGTGTCGGATGACGTTGGTGCTGCACTGACTCCCACGAGCACAGCGCCTGGGGGGACAGAGACCCCATTGGAGTCCAACGCAGCGCCGCCTTTGGGCAACGACATTTTTGATTCGGAGAATATCACCGAGTTGATGTCCATTGGTTTAGTTGGCGAAAGCACCGTCCATGGATGTGTGTCTCGGGCGTTTTTGCTTCTGCTTTTGGGACTGTGTGGAGTCGTGGCAGGCTCATGAGCCAAAGGGTGTGGATGTGCGGCTCCTCACGGAGAATATTTACCGCTTTTCCCGCGGTCCTTCTTTTGGTTTGTTTTCTATATATATACATATTTTTTGATGTTACATTATCATTGCCTGCTGCTGGTTTTCTACTGGGACAATCATCACTTCTGCTCTTTTCTTCTCTTTAATGTTCGGTTGCTGCATGCCGTCATGAGTGACGTGCTTCCCCTCTTCTTTGATTTTTTTGCCCACACGCGGTGCAGACCTCACTGCTGTGCAGTCCCACCGACTGCACAAAAGGAGGAGTGGAGGGGACAGGCCGGAGGCCGCATGAAACGTGAGGGATGTTGTGTGGACTCGTGGAACAATGTGCTCTTTTTAAAATATATTTCATTAATTTCCTGTTTGTGTGGGTCATACGTAAGTTCTGCCGGAGCCTCACCATTTTTTGTTTTGTTTTTGCCCTTTTGGTGAATTCCAGCGGCTCGTTTCCGTCTGTGCCGTGCCTAGTGTCACTGGGGTTTTCCGTGCCGACGAGTGTGTGCGGAGGGAGCAACGCTGACGGTGACAATGGGAGTGTGGGGAAGGGGCGTGGGAGATGAGCGCTCATTGTTGTTTGTGTTGTTGTCGTTTTACTGCGCCCTCCTGCTTGTTGTTGTTGTGGTGCGTGACTCTCATCGCTGGAGGGACGGTGCGTGGTTGTTTGACTTGTCTCTCTCCTTTGTTTTTTGCTCTGCATTGACGGGGAGTTGGTTTGTGCTGAGGGCGGCACGCAAGTGACAGGAGTGATGGCGATGATGATGACAGGCCGTGTGCTGCTGGTGTGTGCCCCCTGCGGCCCTGATTGGTTTATCGCCCGCCGCTGGCATCCGTCCACTTCACGGAGGAATGGTTGTCCGCGGTGTGACATTCAGTCTTGATGAGGCTCAAACGGAGCATTGGAGACGCAGCTGCGAGTGGTGGTTTGTGGCGAGGGTGGCCGCCCTGAAGTGCTGCCAGCGTGCGGTGCCTCGCGAGGAGGGAGGGCGGGAGCCCGCAATTTGTCTCGTCGACTTGTCGCGGGCGTGATGGTGGCGGCGTGCAGGCCAGTGAGTGGTGTGGTGCTGAGGGTGCCTGGGAAGAGTGCGGATGGATTTCTGCCCAGCAGCTGCACGTGCCGGCGTGTCTCTCCCGCTGTGGATTTGACGGCGGGGGATTCCCCGGCTGTGCGAGGTGATGCGCGCCGGCGGAGAAGTCGCCGGGAGTTAGCTGGAGGGTGTGGGGAGGTGCAGCAGTGAACGACGGGCTGCAGCGCGTAGGCACCGCGAAGGGCGGTTGTGCTCCTTTGCATCTCGCTGGTTGATGTGTGTGTGTGTGTGTGTGTACTTCGCTTGGTGTGTACTGACGCGTGACGAACAACACACCCGCCGTGGCTCCTGCTGGTGGTGGCCGTCGCTGTGTGTACCGGTGCAATGTTCCTACTCCTTGTTCCGTGTGTCTGTGTGCGTGAGTTGTTGTGGTTGGGAGTGACCGCGGCGGGGATGATGGTGCCAGTTACAGTGTGGATGGCGGTGCTCACCGTCTCACCTCTTTACTTGGCTTTTTTCCCCTTTCTCTCCAATTATTGAACACAGACACGCTAGGAAAGAAAGAAAACAAGCGCTAATCGCTACTGTGAAATTGTAAGGGTCTGAAAGAAACAACAGCACACAGACCGCCCACACACACGTATTTATATGCTCTCACGTGTTGCTGCAGTGCAGGCACCCCGCACACACAACCGTCGCTGCGTGACCGGATCCAGCGGAAGGAGGAGGGAAGGAAGAGAGAGTGAGCGGCAGAGGCCCAACATGTCCCGGCGTGTGTTTGCTTCCGCGGTGCTGCTTCTTCTCGTCGTGATGATGTGCTGCACTGGTGAAGCTGCTGTCGCCGGGGGCAGTAAAACAAGAGATGCCATTAATCCATTTACAGGGACGACAAGGATAGATGCTACTTGGAAGGACGTTGAGATCAATACCGAAAGTGCTTCGCTCCGCGTTCCCAGCCTTGTTGAGGTGCAGGGTCATTTATTTGCCGTTTCTGAGGCGCGGTGCGGGGAAAAGAACGGAGCCGGCAGCTGTCCTAGGATTTTGTCAAAGCACCTGGATATAAGTGGTTACTCAATGGATATTTCTACGTCAGATGAAAGTTTGTTTTGCACACAAATTGTGGGCACCGCCGCGAATAATTTTGGGACAACGGAATTTTTGCGACCAACGACGCTTGTGCTTGGGGAGAGTGTTTATATGCTCCTGGGAAACTACAGCCATACAAAGAAGCAGATTCAAGGTAAGAATGAGCCAACCCTTTTACTCGTGAAGGGAACTGTCACGGTGGATGGTGGAAAGAAGAAACTTGTGTGGAATGAGACCCATGTGGTGAAGCCTCAACCCAAAGGAAAATCTGGTTCCTTGACCGAGTTAATTGGCGGTGGAGGATCGGGTGCTGTGATGCGCGACGGCACGCTTGTGTTTCCCATGCAGGCCAAAGGCAACGATGGAACGAGCTTTTTACTGTCCATGAGTTTTGACCCGTCAGACAAAAAATGGGAGCTTTCATCCGAGACGCCTGGTAACGGCTGCAGGGATCCAACCCTGGTGAAGTGGGAAAAATACGAATACGGCGAAAGACTCTTCATGATGGCTCATTGTGCTGGAGGCTACTATGACGTTTACATGTCCACTCCGCATGGAGTCAATTGGATTGATCACTTCCAACCAATTACCCGCGTGTGGGGCAACTCACACAATCGAAAGGGGCACGGTGTCCAGAGTGGATCCACCACCGCAATCATTGAGGGAAGGGAGGTGATGCTCATCACCGCGCCGGTGTATGCGAAGGAGGAAAATGGAAAAGGTCGGCTCCATCTTTGGGTGACGGACAATGCACGTGTGTATGATGTTGGGCTGGTATCCCGTGAAAATGATGACGCCGCCGCCAGCTCGCTGTTGATGAGGGATAATAATAAGGAGTTGATTTCACTGTACGAAAACAAGAGCGACGGAGCATACAATCTTGTTGCTGTGCGTCTGACCGAGAAACTGGTGCGGATAAAGGAAGTGGTGAAGACATGGAAGGATTTGGACGGCGCCTTGCAATCATGCCGTTTCGTTTCCAGCGCCACTGTCGACCCGAGAAAAAAAGGTATGTGCAATGGTCGTGTTCCCACTGACGGGCTTGTTGGCTTCTTGTCTGGTAACTTCTCTGAGAACACATGGAGAGACGAGTACCTCGGGGTGAATGCAACAGTGACGAGTGGGGAGCCAAGGGTTCGCAATGGATGGACATTCAAAGGACCCGGGGCAGGGGCGGTGTGGCCTGTTGGCGACATGGGGCAGACTGTGCCGTACTACTTTGCGAACACCGAGTTCACTCTTGTGGCGACGGTGTCCATCCACGAGGCGCCGAAGGAAGCTAGCAGCCCCATCCCCTTGATTGGCGTGAAGATGAATGACACCAGCAGCACGGTGCTTTTTGGTCTGTCGTACACCCATGACAGGAAGTGGTTGGCCGTTTCTGAGGGTGATGG